ACAACCTTATTCTTGTAATCATTTGATATTAGAAACTTTATTATCCATTAACTAAAGTTGTCTTTTCAGGTTAATAACTACACCGATGATCTAGTCAACTTGTCAGATATACGATATAAACATCTGCACTTAAATCTATTTAAAAAGAATTTAAAAAGAATAAAAATCTATTTTAGAATAAAATTTATTTTAAAAGAATAAAAAAAGAATTTAAAAAGCAAATAAAGATCTATTAAAAAGAATAAAAAAAGAATAAATATCTAGTTAAAAAGAATAAAAATATTTATAAATAATAATATGTGTACTGGAAACAAATTACATTTATAAAAAAAGTTGACTGAGATTAAACTTAGTATATAACCTTGACAAAAATCTATATATTGTGTTTAATGTATATAAATATTACAGCTACAGTTTCTACCTTATATTTTATCTGTCTTGGTAATATTGATAATTTATTTGCACTTCTTGAAAGATTAATAGCTGTTTTTATGATACGTAAACATCTTAAACTGATACTTTTAGTGACATGTTTAACGAGTGATTTAGTATTTGAAATATCTAATCGTTGTATTATTCGTTATGGTTTATAACAATCAGACCTTTCTAATGCACGGTATAAATGCACATCCTCTTTAAGTACACCCTTCTTAAGTGTACACAAGAAGGATGTACTTAGAGAATATTATTGTATATATTTCTCTTGCAAAAAATCCAGGACCTAATACAGAGTTGGAATAGATTAACATAAGGAATGGATCAAATTGAAACTTAGAGTATTTCAAAAAGAGTTCGAAACTTTAACTAAACGTTCAATAGTATATGATGTTTTAGCATTATATATAAGAACCAATGAGTACTTAAGTACTTTATTTAAAAGTGCGTATATAATCGTAATGCTTGAAAACGTGTTGGGTTGAAATATTCATGTATCAGAATTTATTTATCGAAAACAAAGTTTACAATTTTTCCTTCATTAGCATGAATGATTTTTTTAATCTTTTTATCAGCATTTACTTTCCCCAACCATTTCTTTCCATTCTCAGATTCTAGAATCAATTTCTCGGTGCTGAGATTATCTTGTAAAACTGTTGATGGAATCATAAGTGAAAATCTCATTTTCCCATTAATCTAGACAATTTATTAAATAAAAAAGGTTGGTTTTTCTTTAAAATAACAATAATAATAATAATACGACAGGGTGAAACCCGCGCTGTGAATTAGTAAAATCCGCTATGTAGATCACATGAGGTTGAAATTCGCTTTTGCATAATAAAAAACATAGCTAAGCGCGGATTTCACCCTAACGTGATCTACGTAGCGGATTTTACTAATTTACAACGCGGGTTTCACCCAGTCCTATAATAATAATGAACAGAATAATAAACTCACTTGAACAACACAAGTAACTTCACTGGCGTTTAAGCATTCTTTGTCAACTTTGGGCCATAACTCTTCAAATATAGATGTTGTATTTTGTTTTCCTCGATTTAAAATTTCCCAAAATTCCTCTCCAATACTAGGTGCCATTGGTGCCATCATTTTTACCAATGTTTTTATACCATATTCATATGTTGGTGAAACGATTGTAGATTTTTTGGATGCATTTTCATTTTGATATGTGGAAATACTTGTCAGATGGTTTGTTAGTTTAATCAGTGATGATACTGCTGTATTAAATGTTGAATTTTCATAATCCTCTGTCACCTAATAAATATATTTCGTATGGTTTGATTGACAAATGTAATGGATGTTCGTGTGACTTAACAAGTATACTAACCTCTTTTATCGTAATGTTTATGATTCTATACGTTTCCCTATCTTCCTTACTTAGTAAATTCATGTTAAAATTTAGACTCTGATTATTTGTTGACGATTCTTTTTCAACAACACTTTCAACCAATCTCCAAACACGAGCAATCCACCTCTGCATGCCAACTATGCTTGCATCTTCCCATTCGAGAACTTCAGACACTGGTGCTTTGAAAAGTATATGCAATCTTGTCGCATCTGCGCCATAATTGTTTATAGTTGTCTAAACAAGTACAAACGAAACATGATAAATTATATGATAAATTCTTTTATAGTGTATTAAAATTTACTTACTTCTGGATCTACACCATTATACTTGCTTTTAGACATTTTTTCAAATGATACTACTGGAGTAATTCCCGTTGAGATTTGTATAGGCTTACTTGGATCTTTTGATAATTATTTAATTAGTCAGATAATATTGATCATTGTAAAGAATAAATGATTAACAGGAATTTTTTTACTTGATAAATCAACTTCATCTGGCTTTAAAAACCTTCCTGATATTGGATCTTTGAATGTTTTTCCATGAACCATCCCCTAAATGAATATATATATATATATATATATATCACATTATGTACTAAATCTTGGATTGAATTTTGTAACAACAATGATACATGCCTGTGTAACCAACTGTTTAAATGGTTCGGGTTCGGTAATATCCCCTTTCAAAACAAACATACCCTGCTTGAACATAAATTTGGTAAAGAACCGAGAATACAACAAATGCAAATTTGCATGTTCTATGCCACCAATATAGACATCAACTGGAAGTAAATTAGATGCTTTCTTAGGGCAAAACGGCCTATATCACATGTTAATGGTTACTATAGTCACTTACAGTAATTTAACTTATGATACTATCTCTTTTCGGTTCATGGCTTACTGGTTTGAATTTTTTGAATCCGCATATCGCATAAAATACCACGATGAATCAACAAAAGTATCCATCGTATCAGTGTCTCTCATAGCAGGACCCTGGCACCTAATAAATAGTATATTAGCATCGTCAATAGCTAACCTTACTAAAAATTAGGAAATGACTTACTTTGGACATTTACAATTTATCCATTCTTGCACTTGCTTTAAGGGAGAACCTCCACGACCGGAAAAGGTGACATTAGCGGGTAAAAGTATTGGTAGCTCAGACTCAGAAACAGGAACAACCTATTTTCATGTAAAATTTTGCTAAAAAAGAAATTACCTAGAGTCATGTAAGTCATGTAATATAAAATACATACGTCGCATTTCGCACAATGTATGACCGGGATTGGTGCACCCCAATAACGTTGCCTGGAAATCAGCCAGTCTCTAAGACGATACTAGATAATGATAATTTCTTAACATCAAAAGTCTTTAAATATATTTTATATTATAATTTGAGAAATTCGAATTACCTGAACTGACCAGCGTCCATATCCCGCTTTTTGTGCATCATTTACAATTGCTTTCTCTGCATCATCACTCGAAAGACCAGAATATTGACCACATTCCGCTGACAATATTCCACGCGAAGTAAAAACTTTATTGCTATGCTGCATCTCTGTTACTTTTGCTTTATCAAAAATATATCAAAAATACACTTTTCGCAAAAAATAAGGATAAACCAGAGATTTTCATATAGTGACAAACGTACAATTATCTCGAATTACAGGTATAATGACTTTTTTAAGATTTTCCTCGGAAATGATACGATTTACTCTTACAAATTCCCAGTCGCGTTCATCATGTGCAGGAACGCCCATCACCGCACCTGTTCCGTAATCGGGAACCACATAGGATGCTACATAAATGGGAATGGATAAACCTGTAATTGGATGCTTTGCGAAAACACCGGTATGCATTCCTGAAAACATTAACAAATCCATGAACTTTTATAAACAAAAATATAAAAATGGCTATGAAAAAGAAAGACAAATATTACACCTTGCTCAATATTTACATCATTCAAATCAAATAATTGTTGTTGCCTGATTTTTTCCACAAATTGCAAAACTTGAGAGCAAGTATTTTGTGGAAGCCACCTACGTGAAATATAACCTTATTAAATTTAAGTTAGGCTTACTAAATGTAAAATAATTTAAGTACATACTCTTCTGACAAAAGGGGGTGATCTATAGAGATAGCTATATATTGTACTCCAAAAATGGTATCAGGTCTACTCGTAAATACCTTAACTATGAACCCGGATCTTTTTGATTCCTGAATAGGGTGATGACTGTCAAATTCTCTGTATACGCGCCCATAGAGCCTTTGTTAAAATACACACCACTATAAAATCAAATTCAGCTCCCTTAGATTTTCCTATCCAATTTCTTTGCATTTGCTTTACATGATCCGGCCATTTATCTAACAAATCAAGGTCATTCAGCAATGGCTATATTCAAAATTCAATAATATTATAAAATGTATATTTATTAGCTATAAACTATAAAAAATGAAATTTAAGCTATACTTCGGTAAAGTCTGTTATTTTAAAGAACCATTGTTTTAATTTACGTCGTTCAACTTTAGCACCTGACCTCCAGGATCTCCCGTCAGAATCCACCTGGAGAAGTTGAGTTATGAAATGAATACAACGCTATTTATTTAATTATTTTAAGCATTAGATACCTGTTCATTGGCCAGAACTGTTTGGTCAACAGGATCCCAATTAACAATGGCCTCTTTTTGATAAGCGAGACGTGCTTTATACATTTGGAGAAAAAGATATTGTGTCCATTTGTAATAATCTGGATTGCAAGTGGTAACTTCCTAGGAGTAATACATACATTGAATAAATCAAATTATATTTTTTAGAAAATATAAATATACATACTCTATCCCAATCAAAATCTGCTAAAATTCTCTCCATTTGTTTTTTCATCGAAGATATATTTGATATGGTCCAATCAGCAGGATGAACGTCCCGCTCCATAGCGGCATTTTCGGCGGGAAGACCGAAAGCATCCCATCCCATTGGATGAATAACCTTTTGAGTGTAATAAATAGTACATCATGAATTTATACATTGCACAAATCAATTAACATCATTATTCATTATCACATACATCATATCCAAGCATTTTTCTAAACCTCGCTAAAGTATCACTAATAGTATACACTCTCACGTGGCCCATGTGTAGCATTCCGCTTGGATATGGAAACATGGCCAAAACATAAAATTTTTCTTTATTGTTTTGATTTTTTGGAAGATTTTTAAGATTTTTCCATTTATTTATCCATTTACTTTCTATCTTTGCGAAATTAAAACTTTTTGATACAGATGAATATGATTTTATTTTACAATAAAAAATCGAATTTATAAAAAACTTTGTATTATGACCCGCATAGTAAACGCGTTTCGCAATACGTAAATGCATCAGGAACATTTTATTAAAAAAAAAAAATTTTACGTGCGACTTAATGTTACAATGATAGTCATTATGACGATCAATCAGCTGATCAAACACACGTATAAAACCGCTTTCTTCTTGTAAATAGTTTTGTACATGCGCGACAATTACCGTCATGAGACGTAAAAAAGGAAAGGTGTCTCCAGAGTGTTTAAATAAAGTGGAGGTTAGATAAAATATTAAAATTAAAACTATTGTCTTAAGTGATAATATGTTATAAAAATGGATATTAGAAGCGTGTTCTTAGAGATTTTTATCCACCTTTTACTAAATAAATTTTATACCTTAGAATGAATATTCCAGCCAGTTAAAAAGATTTGTAACTGTGATTTCGGGTAGACTAACATACAGTGAGCTTCTTCAATGGGCTACTTACATGAAATCAGAAGACATTAACCTCAGAACTAAAGGGGAACAAACACTTTATTCAATTTGGACCGACATTTTCCCTGATGATAGAACACCAGGAGTAAGTTGGTTAATCTACTTTTCATTCTTACACGCTGGAAATATCAAATATTACTATCATCTATATATTTTCTAGATACATATGTGGGATTATGTAAAACGTGGAGTAGAGTTATATAAGAATGTAGAATTAAACGCGTTTGATGAAAGCCTTGTGGATTTCATAAATATTTGTTATGACATTGAAAAGTTTCGAGAACAATGGGTAATTATATCATTTAATAGGTTTTTTTTTTTTTTTGTGAAAATTTGCTTATTTATTTTTTTTTTTAAAAAAAAAAGAAAAATGTCATTCAGCAAGATTCTTCTCAAGTTTTCTATCCACTTTATTATCAACAATTCTCGACGCCTAATAATTCTTCTGTCCGCCCTCAATTTTCGAGTCAACCGAGTCAACCTTCATCGTCCACATCGTCCATTCGTCCTTCTAGACGGGTGAGTCCTTAGATTGATAATATATTTTGATTATAAACAATATCTCCATATTTTAATGGTTATTTTTTTTAATCAAAGGTTCAACCTATTAGTCTGGTAAATTCATTTTATTTTATTTTTGCAAATATTTTACAATTTAAAATTATTGCATGCTTTGATCCGTAAATTTATTTATCTATTTATTTTTTTAAAAACAAAGGGCAAGAGAATTCAAGATCTCACTTTACCGAATACAATAATGCAGACTAATTGTTCTGAACAGGTATTATTATATATAAGCAGATGCGTTTATTACGAACAACTATTTACTAATATATTTAAATAGGAAATAAAATTTTTTGAAAAAATTGCTGATAATAAAATGGACAACTTTTGCCTTAACTTATGGGTTAAAAATGTGTTTAGTGCCGTTCCTAAAATGCAACATTATGCTCATGTATATTTAATTTTGGCATGGAATGAAGAATATCCTACTTGCATAGATCATGTAAGTAAGAATATCAATTATTCAGGAATGAGCAAGTGTTTATATATATGTTTTATTTATTTATTTATTTTTATCAGAACGGATATGTACATTTACTGAATGGCATGAAGCTTTATGTTGAAAGATTTCCAAAACCCTACAATATCAATGTCAAAACTTTAATAAAAATATTGCGTAAATTGGAAAAGGTATGTTAATAACATATATTAATTTATTTACTTTCTAACAAATCAAAAAATGACATGAAATTTTATCATAGAAAAAATGTGGGATATTTGAAATTGATTCTAATAACGGCACTCAGCACATGGATGTGGACCTTGAAGGCAAGGAAAGTGAAAATTCAATTTTGCGAGAACTTTACGATAACCCATCAATTGCCCAATTTCAAGATGTTCATAGACTTTATGGTCCTCATCTTTAACTACTTATACCTTCATTACAACATTGCGATAGTTATTTGTAATCTGTCATTTCAAAGCTTTCTTAAATAGGGTTGGTTTTAAAGAGATACACGAGAACCTTATTTTAAAATGTACCATGTTCATGTGAGCATAACTTTATCATCTTGACTTTATCAGGTATAGGACATTTTCTCTAGAGTGTTGTATATAATAAAAATTATAATAAAAACATATAAATTTGCTATAAACTTTGAGCTGAAGATTTTTAACTTAATTGACAATTTAATAATATATAAAACAGAAATTCTAACTTTTATAATTTATAAAAATTTTTAAATTTAAATTGCTTGTAATTTTTTATTTAATTAACTAATTTTGCCGGTTTTATTATTATTAGTCATGGGACATGTCTCCTTAAAAAATTGCTTACTTATAGATTAAATAAGATAACTTACCCCAATTTTATATGTAAAATTTATAAAAATTTTTTTAAATTTATTTTAAGAAAGTAAATATAAAAAATAATTTAGATATGGGATTTATATTCTCTGAATTCTTTTGCAAAATTGCAAATACAAATATCAAGTAGTTAAAAAAGATCTTAAGCTAAAGTTTTTTAATTTTTTTTTTGTTTTCTATATGTTCTTTAAATCAAATAAATGATTTATCCCAATTTATAATATGATTGGTTAAAATAATTTTTTAAAGATTAAAGATAAAAGTCTCTTGCAGCTTTAAGTAAAGGTTTCTTGCAACTCTAAATAAAGTTGTAAAAAGGGTTTTTTGATTCTAATAGTAGTTAGATTGTTAAAATTGGCTTGGTAGATTCCAAGATACTTGGAGTTAAAGAAAAAAATACAAAGATCTACAAATTTACTATTATACAAAGTCTTATAATACTATAATATTTTATTGTCTAGAGTAAAGCAAAGAACTTATATTTCTATGCGCTTTGATGACTAAAATTATAATTTTGATGCTTTTGTAACAAAAATATCAAAAATATAGTTTTGGCATTTTTTATCTGTAATATTTCTAAAAATTTTGTTATATATATCATAGATCAAATTTTTCAGTAAAATTATATCCAGAAAATACTAAACATCTTTTTACTATAAATGTATCAAAAATATAATTTTAGTTATCAAAGGGAATAGAAGGATAAGTTTGTTATTTTGCTCTAAACAATTTGTTTTAAATAATAACCAGATTTTTCAAGATCATATTAAAATTACTAAAATTATAGACTCTAGACTTATACTAGTTTCTGGTTTTTAGTATAATAGTAAATTTGTAGATTCTTGTATTCTTTTCTTTAATTCTAAGTATTTTGGAATTTACCAACAATCTAACTACTATTGGGATCAAAAAAATCTTCTTTACAACTTTATTTAGAGCTGCAAAAGATCTTTATTTAGTAAAATCTTCTTTAATCTTTAAAGAATTATTTTAACTGTATATTCTACCAAAATAGGTTTTCAAAAAACCTTATTTTCTCTCTATTAAAGCAAATTAGAATTTTTTATATATAAGCAAATCTAATTTAGATAGTTATGTTTTTTATAATTTCATCTCTTCAAAAAAGTGTCAAAAAAATTTGTTTTTAAGTAAAATAGGTCAAAAACAATTTCATCTTCAAATTTTAATTTTGGGTTTTAGACTCCAAAATAATTTTGTCAATATGTATAATTTTAACCAATTATATTATAAATTGGAATGAGTTATTTATTTAATTTAAAATATAAAAAACAAAGAAAAATAAAAAATTTTAGCTTAAAATCTTTTTGTAATTTTGCAAAAAAATTCAAAAAATGCTAAAAAATATATAGCAAGTTCTATATCTAAAATTATTTTTTATATTTATTTTCTTGAATAAATTAAAAAAAGTATTTTTTTGTAAATTTTATATATAAATTAAAATGAGTTATCTTATTTAATTTATATTTAATTTAAGATTTGAAAATATGTTCTATAACTATTATTAGAATTATATATATTGATCAATTTGTTTAACTCCAAAATTAATTAATCATAATTGAGAATTATCAAAAAAAATTTTTATAAAAATTTATTGCAAGCAAATTTTTATTAAAATAGCCTTTTTAACTTGTCTTGCATTTATAATTAAGTATATAAAAATTTATAAAAGTCATATATTTAGTTATAAGCCAAAAATAAGTTAAAAAGACTATTTTTTAAAAATTAGATTTTAAATTTATGCTTAATAATT